GCACCTGGACACGCACAGCAAGGAGCCGGCGTATCGCTGCGAGTTCGAGGCCTGCAGCTTCTCTGCACGGTCCCTCTGCTCCATCAAACTGCACTACAGGAAGGTCCACGAGGTGGGGAAGCAGCAGAGCTTGCGTGGCTCGTGGTGCCCCTGTCAGTCTTCTCAGCTTTTTGTCTCTGACGTCGCTCTCTGTGTCCCTCAGGGTGACTCCGAGCCCCGGTACAAGTGCCACGTGTGTGACAAGTGCTTCACACGGGGGAACAACCTCACTGTCCACCTCAGGAAGAAGCACCAGTTCAAATGGCCCTCGGGACATCCTCGCTTCAGGTACTGCTCACCTTTAGCTCCTCAGTGCCTCCTCTGCAGGGCAGGAGCTGCACCCTGCGTTGTGCTGGCAGTGCTTGGGCTCTGATGTTTGCAGGTGTCTTCAAGACCCTTTTCCCAGTGGCTGGGAGGCACTGGGCAGGAAATGTTCAGTGGGACCTGAGCGGTGCTGCCTGGCAGCCCCAGGGCAGTGGTGCCATCACTGTGGGACAGTTCTGAGCTTGGCAGGTGTCCCCCTTCTAGAGAGATCCATCTTGGCACAGGAGCTTCTGCTTCCTTTGGAGGAAACTCCAGAGGGTTTCCAGAGCCTGAAAGCTGGGAGGGGAAGAGGATGGACTTGAAATGCTCCTGGTGACACAGAGTGGTGGAAGGAGAGGGGCTGGGGAGGGGATTGAGCCTGGCACAAAGCTCAGAAGCTGCCACATGGGAGTAGAGGCTGAAACAGCATCTGTGCAGCACAGGGATTGAAACCTCGGCTGCTGTGCCCTTTCCTGGCTGTTGCCCATCTCCTGGGAAGGGGGATGTGCCTGGCTGACCCCTCCTGTCTGTGCCCAGGTACAGGGAGCACGAGGATGGCTACATGAGGCTGCAGCTGGTGCGCTACGAGAGCGTGGAGCTGACAGAGCAGCTGCTCAAGGACAGGGAGAAGCGTGGCGAGGCTCTGGATGGCCCCAGCGAGTGCGTGGTGCTGCCTGAGGGCGAGGGTAACCTGCAGGGCATCCTTCTGGAGCCTCCAGCAAACCCTGTCCCGGCAGAGAGCAGCACAGCCGAGCTGCCCGTGCCCCCAGCCCTGTGCTCTGCTCCCAGCCCTGAGCCAGCACGGCCGAGCCCCTTCCCAGGAGCTTCCTCCTCCTCCTCCTCCTCCTCAGAGCAAGGAGCCAGCAGCACCAGCAGCCCCATCATCCGTGTGGTGAGCAGGACCAACGAGCAGGGCCAGAGTGAGACTGTCTATTACGTGATGGCCAGCACAGAGCAGCAGGGCACGGCAGCCCCGGCCCTGGAGCTGGAGGAGAACGTCATGGACAGGCTGCAGAAAACAGCTGAGGAGCTGGGCATCCAGATCCTGTGAGGAGGAGAGCTTCAGCCTCCTGGGGATGTGCTGCTGGAATGCTTGGGGACAGGGCTGGGCTTGCCTTCAGCCCAGCCTCGCTGGCTGCTGGTTCTGGTCAGTGTGTGAGAGGGGAGGGACAGATGTGAACCAAGTGATCTGAGCTGGAATGAGCTGTCTGCCTCCTCCTTTTGGGGACTGGGGCCTCTCAAGCTTCTCCCACCCTTCTGGGGGTTTGGTTTAGGCCTGGCAGGGTGGTGTGGTCAGCAGCTGTGCCCTTCTGAGCTGGTTGTGCAGCACACTCTGCTGCTGAGGCCCCTTCCCTGGGAACGTGTGGCCCTTGGCAGGCCAGTCCTGCCCCATCCATGCCTTCTCCAGGGGGTGTCACGCCTTCATCAGCACATCCTGCACACATTCCCTGTCTGCCCTGCTGCTGGGGGTGGTGTTTGCCTCCCTGACCCCAAAACCAGCCCTGCTCTCTGGGAGGACAGCGCTGGAGCTGCTGTCCCTTGCAGGCCAGTGCAGCACAGCGACATTGGGAGCTTCCTGCTGCTTTTGGCATCCCCTGGCTGCCCTCCCCACGTTGGGGTTTGGGCTCCTGGCTGGGCAAAGTGTACTTTGGCAAGACAAATAAACATCAGGCTGCCAGGCCCAGCAGTGTTTGCTGTGTTTTTCTGCTCAGCCGGGGTGGGGATGGCACTGGGGTGGTGCAGCGTGGGAGGTGGGCACCGAGGAGCTGCCCTGGCACTCTGCAGCTGGCACTGGAGCGTGCTGCTCCCCAGAGGTGGCACTGCAAGGCCGGGTTTAGCTCTGCCACTCGTGTTGCTGAGTTTATACTATTTAAAGGAGATACTAAAACTACAAACCTACTTTTTCTAACTCACAACTCATGACCCTCTCTGAGTCCAGCCCCAGGTGGGTTGGGTTGGCCACCAGGCTCAAACAATCCTCACCAGAACCCAACCAAGCATCACCCCAGGTAAACAATTCTCCACACACATTCCACAAGGAGCAGAAACAGAAATTGGTTTCTCTTTCTTTCCTCTGTGCTCCTCTATGAAAAAAAATCCTGAGAGAGAGAAGAATGTGCCTGCCACTACCCCTGCCACTACCCCTGAGCACAGCTCTGCCTGGGCTGGCCCTGGCAGAGCTGTGCTCAGGGGTAGATTTAGGCTGGCCCTGGCAGAGCTGGGCTCAGAGTTAGGGCTGGGCTGGCCCTGGCAGAGCTGTGCTCAGGGGTAGATTTGGGCTGGCCCTGGCAGAGCTGGGCTCAGGGGTGGATTTAGGCTGGCCCTGGCAGAGCTGGGCTCAGGGGTAGATTTAGGCTGGCCCTGGCAGAGCTGGGCTCAGGATGCCTTCCAGAGCAGGGCCCTGTGCCAGCTCTGCGTTCGCAGCACTCCAGCCTGGCCCTCCCAGTGCCCTCCCAGGGCACGGCTGTGCTGCTGCTGCTGGGTTTGGGGCTGCCTGTGAGGAGTGGCCCTTTAAACCCTGCCCAGGCAGGGTAATCTGCCAGAGATTATCTGCTGGGGAGAGGATTGGCATTAAAGGGAATGGCTCCTCCCTTCCCCCCGTGTCCTGCAGCATCCCCCGGCCTGGGGGTGTGTGGCAAACCAAGTTCACTTTCTCCTGGCGAGCAGAGAGGGCTCTGGGCTCGGAGGGGAGGAGGGCAGATGATGGCACTGGGCTTCCTCTTCCTCGCCGTGCTGGCCACGCTCGCCTCCTGCCAGGACCCAGAAGGTGACAGGGGTTTGGGGGATGAGGGGGGTGATGGGGTGCCCAGAGCTGCATCAGTCCTGCCCGGTAAGGAGCCAGACCAAGGCTTGGCACAGGGGGTGTGGGTGCTGAGCCCCGAGTGGCTGCACTCCTGAGCACAGCAAGGGCTGGGACGGGCTCCTGTGGGCTCCTACAGGTCCCTGCGGGGCTCTGGGGGCTGGACAAGCGGTGACAGTGCTGTCCTTGCCCCCGGTGGCCCAGGAGAGCTGGACACGTACTGGTCCGGCACGGCTCCCATCTGCCTGGGGGGCTGCAGGGGCAGGCACAAGGAGCTGAAGAGGAGCCAGTGTGGCAACGGCAGCTGCTGCTGGCTGGGCTACAAATCCTTCTGCAGAGGTAGAGCCGGGGGAAGGCTGGGGGTCCCTGGGGGTGTCCCCTGCAGCAGCCGCGGACACGCGTGGGTGACCCGCAGCCTCGGCTGGCGAGCCCCGGGGCTGTCCCCACGCCCTGCCCGGGCTGCCAGCCCCGGTTACATCGCTGTCCTCAGTGAACTGCGGGCGGCCCGAGGCGGATTTCAACTCGGTGGTGCACGGGAACGACTGGTGGGTGGGCTCCGTGGTGCGCTACAGCTGCCGGCCCGGATTCCTGCTGCTGGGGGACCCCGCCAGTGCCTGCCGGCCCGACGGCCGCTGGACCCCCAAACCCTCCTGCCTCCGTGAGTACCCGACAGGTCAGGCATGTCCCCAAACCCTCCTGCCTCCGTGAGTACCCGGTGGGTCACACATCCCCAAACCCTCCTGCCTCCGTGAGTACCCAGCGGGTCACACATCCCCAAACCCTCCTGCCTCCGTGAGTACCCGGCGGATCAAACACACCCCCAAACCCTCCTGCCTCCGTGAGTACCGCTCAGACACATCCCAAACCCTCCTGCCTCCGTGAGTATCTAACGGGTCAAACACATCCCCAAACCCTCCTGCCTCCGTGAGTACCCGACAGGTCAGGCATGTCCCCAAACCCTCCTGCCTCCGTGAGTACCGCTCAGACACGTCCCCAAACCCTCCTCGACCCCGAGGGCTCCAGCTGAGCCCCCTGTTATAAATGAAAATTTGTCCAGCCAAATTAATATGAAAAATAATATATTTATTTTGCAATCAAATTTTATCTAGCCAGCTACAAGGAAAGAACAGAGCCGAGCCCAGGGTCGGCCCTGGGTGTGCAACAAGGAGTCAGCCTCAGCAGAGGTTTCCCTCCATGCCCACACACCTCCAGCCTGGCACAAGGGGTTTTTATAGGGAAAATTCCACCTGAGGCCAAGATTTCAGCAGTCAGTCTTTTCTTCTATTCAGAGTCCATATGTTAATAAGATTTTCCTTTTTGGTGATGAGGGAGAACAATTCAGTGTCCGGAGTTTGTTGAATCCCTTGATGAAGTTTATGGGAATTCGGGAATGCTGCATTCACATGGATCTGCCTGAGGATTTCCATGATTTCCATCTCGGGTCGTTCAAGGATGATCAGCACCTGGGGGTTCTGTATCTCCCCAGCCATGGCCCATCTCCTGGTGTCCCCAAATCCCACCACACATGGCCCATCTCCTGGTGTCCCCAAATCCCACCACACATGGCCCATCTCCTGGTGTCCCCAAATCCCACCACACATGGCCCATCTCCTGGTGTCCCCAAATCCCACCACACATGGCCCATCTCCTGGTGTCCCCAAATCCCACCACACATGGCCCATCTCCTGGTGTCCCCAAATCCCACCACACATGGCCCATCTCCTGGCCAGCCGTATCTTCTTACTTGTAAATCAGTTTCCCACATACACCCGGTCTCGGTGGGGAGAAGGGGGGGGAGGCTAGTACAAACGAGGTATAATCTAACAAGTATTTAACATTATATATTCCATACAAGGAATGGCACAAATTATGTTTATTACCCTTAACACCCCCGAGATGGTTTCTGCCCCCGCAGGGATCTGCCTGCGCGGCCGCATCCAGCTCAGCGAGTGGGACATCAGCGGCCGCTGCTCCTCGTCCTGTGGCAGCCAGGAGCTCCTGGGAACCTCCCTGGGAACCTCCCTGGGAACCTCCCTGGGAACCTCCCTGGGAACCTCCCTGGGAACGTCCCTCAACAGCGGCTGCATCAAGATCTCGGCCTGTGTCACCAAAGTGTCCGGCTGGCCCCGCTGGTTCCGGCGCTGTGACATCTGCGAGTGCGACTGCCATGTGCCCTGCGGTGAGTGCCGGCGGTGGCACTGCCCGCTGGGCTCTGGGGAAGGCTGGCACTGGGAGATGGGAGCTGCAAACAGCTCCAAATCTGCTCTTTGCTCTCCTCAGGTTCTTCCAGGTAGAGCTGGGCCGCCTGGGGCTGTGGCTGCTGGCTCCGTGCTGAGGGAGGCTTCCACCCTGGGCCCTGCCTCCCTTCACCAGTGTCTGCTCCTTCCATGAGCTCTGGCTGTCCCCAGGCTGTCATCTGAGAGGGGAGGAGATGTTCTGGACTCGCTCTTGCAGGGCCCGGGAGATGCTCTGGGAGGTGCTGGGGTCTGGGAGTGGTTCCTGCAGCTGGGTTGGGGTCGGTGCTGTCAGCACCCATTCCCTGGCTGCTTCCCCGAGGGGCTCAGAGCCCCTTTTTGGGGGGAGGCAGCAGCTGTGCCTGTGCCAAACAGCTGTCCTTCAGTGCTGCAGGTTGGGATTTCTCCCTGTCAGGTAATTCCAGGCTCTGAGCTGGGAGGTGGAGCTGCCCTCTGAGCTGGCTGAGGCCAGCTGGAGTGTGGCATCTGCCTCCTGTCCCCACGGCGGGGACAGAGCAGCCTGGCCAGGGCTGCAGCACCCACTGCTGAGGAATCCACCTGCCCTGCAGCCTCCCTGGGAGTGCACAGCTGGCAAAGGTCTCATCTCCCAGGTGGAAAATCTTCCCTCCAGGCTGCTCCATGCGCTGCCTGCTGGTCCTGCTCCTTCCAGGGAGTCTGTGCTCCTGCCCTGAGAGCCCCTTTCTGCAGGGGCTTCTCCTCCAGCAGCCTGGGACCACAAAGAGAGAGATTTGGCCCCAGCCAGGAACAGTTTTGTGCTCCTTGAGGACAGCTCTGGCTCCTTAGGAAGCAGCCAGGGAAGCAGTTTCATTCCCCCAGGGAAGGAGAGGGTGGGCTGGGGCACGTCTGATGGCACTGCTGAGGCTGCTGCAGGACCAGCCACGGGTCATTAAAAATATATTTGCAGGGAATCCCACAGGTTTTCCTGTCATGCAAAGAGGTTCTGCTGCCTGCTCTGTCCCTGCAGCCCTGCACACAGGTGACAGAACCAGGACAGGCTCCCTGTCCTGAGCCACCACGGGGACACAGCTATGGACAAGGCCACTTCAGGAAGGTCCCAGCTGGGGATTAGAGGGATGTGAATGTCCCTGTGGCACCGGGCTCCATCCCTGCTTCCTTCCCCTTGGAATGACTCCTCAGCAGCTGCTGGTTGCTTTGTGGCCACCAGCTTGGGCCCAGCTGAGCAGAAAGGGGTTTAGCATCCCTGAGGTCACTCCCAGGCCCTCCCTCTGCCCCTGTAGGGAGGAAGGGCTGCTTGGCACTGCACAGCCCGTGCCTGGGCTGGGACCCAGGGCTGGGAGGCAGCTGGGTGCAGAGAGAACTGGGCCAGTCCCATGTGCCTTTTGCTCCATGACTTAAACCTCCCTGAGGAGCTTGGCTCCATGGAAAACTCCTCGTGCCCTCCCCTGGTCTCCTCTGCCTGGATCCTGCCCTGAGATCTGTCCCTAAGCTGGCATGGGGTGGGGAAAGCTCTCCTTGGCTCAACAGATGGGTTTTTAATTAATACTCTTGCTGCTGCCACTCATTTCCATATGTCTCTGGTGTTTAAGTGCTGTGGTGGGTGAGAGGTGTGAGTAACAGCGAGGAGGGAGCCAGGCGAGCTGCCGGGGAGGTGCAGGGGGATCCAGGTCCTGCAGGATGAGCTGCACCAGGGGGGTGTGCTGGGGGTAAAACCCCAAAAGGACAAACCCCTGCCACAGCCCTTTGTGACCAGCTGTCACCCCGCCGTGTCTGTTTTGGGGTGTCTGTGCAAGGCTGAGCGGGGCAGGAGCAGCTTTAGGGTGTGTTGGGATCACTCAGGGGTGGCTTTAGGGTGTGTTGGGCTTGCTCAGGGGGTTTGGGGTGAGCAGGGAGCTGTGGGGGCTGTGTCCCAGATGTGGATGGCAGCCGGCACAGGGGTGCAGGGGGGTGCAGAGGCAGAGCTGCCAAACCCCAGGCGTGTGCCCAGGGATGCTCAGGCCTGCTGGCAGGCAGCGAGAGGAAATAGGGCCGGTCCCTTTAAGAGGATTTTTCGCTGCCTGGCAGCGCTGCCCGCCCGGGCAGCCCATCCATCCATCCTGCCGCCCATCCTGCTCCCCGCCCCGGCAGCACCGGCCACGGGGCTGGCGGAGAGGGGCGCCCCCGAGCAGCCCGGCCCGGGGAGGGGGCTGCTGGCCACTGCGGGAATACCGCTAGCCACTGCGGGGCTGGGCCCAGAGAGCCCCCCGCCCGCCCTGCCCACCCAGCCCCGCCGAGGGATGGGGAGGAGACCCGGGCCGGGCACTCGCGGGGGCAGCGCCCAGCCCGGCTCCCACCGCTGAGCATCGCAACCGAGCCGAACCGAGGCGAACCGAGCCGAACCGAGCCCGGCTGGGCCCCCCGGGCATCGCCCCTTTGTCTGCGGAGGAGGCGAGGCGGGGGCGCTGCGGGAGCGGAGCCGCCGCCCCGCACCCTGCCAGGTGAGCCTGCGGGAGAGCCGAGAGCCTCCCCGGGGCCGCGGGGGGCTGGGGATGGAGGGGATGGCGGTGAGCAGGGATGAAGGCAGAGCATCCTCGGGCAAAGCCTCCCCGTCCCCACCCCGCGGCCCGGGGCTGGGCTAAGCCGCCGAGAGCCGCTTGCGGGATTTAGCGCCCCGCGAACGCCCGGCCGGAGGAGTCAAGGTGAGCCCGAGGGCGCTTCCAGCCCGCTGCCCCCCAAAGCAGCCCCGGAGCCCCTCTCCTGCACCCCGCGGATGATGGGAGGGGTCCCCCGGGCGGGGAACCCCCACCCCATCCTTCCCCGGGGCTGGGCTGGATCCCTTCCAGCGCTGAGCGGGGTCTGCCTGCAGCCGGGGTGGGCTGGGGGGGATCTCCGGAGGGGACCCCCGGGCGGGGAACCCCCACCCCATCCTTCACCGGGGCTGGGCTGGATCCCTTCCAGCGCTGAGCGGGGTCTGCCCGCGGCCGGGGTGGGCTGGGGGGGATCTCCCGGAGCTGCCGGTGCCCCTCGCAGGGGTTGTGTGTGAGCGCTGCAGCCGCAGGAGCCGCAGCCCCGTGAATTTAGGTTAGCGAGGCGCTGGGAGCCCGGGCTGGGAGGCGAGATGGGTGCAGGGCACAGCCCGAGCTCCGGCACAGCCCGAGCTCCTTTTGCTGCTGCCGGGGGTGATCCCGACCCCCCGAGCCGCTGGGAGCCGGCGATCCCCGCCCTGCTCGCTCAGCATCCCCCGGCACCCGGAGCGGAGCGGAGCGGGACACGCGGGGCTCGGCCGTGCCGCAGCCCGCGGGGCAGCACTGCGGGCACGGAGCGCTGGGGACGGTGTGGCAGCGTCATGGCCACAGCTCAGGCTGGCCTGGCCTCTGAGGCTGTGCTCAAAGAGCCCGGAAGGTGAAAGGATGAGCCGGGCAGGCAGAGAAGGAATGGCACCCGCAGGGCCATCCCTGTTCTGGTAAGGCTCCCCCAGTTAACCCAGGGGGACCCCAGGGACTGTCTGAGGGTCTGAGGTACCCAGGAGTGCCCTGCCCCAGGAGCACGGCGTGCTTTGTCCCAGAAACCAGCTGGAATAATCTGCTTGTTTGGGATTTTGTACCTCTGTTCCCCAAGGCCAGGGCAGGGCTGGTTCCTGGTGAGTCCTTGGGGACATCCAGGCATAGGGCAGGACATCAGCTTTCCCACCCCCCATCCTCCAAATGGGACTGGGGCAGGGACCCCCGGGGCTGGGGGGGCTGAGCAGCTCCGGCAGCAGAGCTGGCCCAGGCTGCAGGAGGTGCAGGAATTATTGACCGAACAAAATCCTGCTGTTCCTCGCCCTCGGGGCCCATCCTCCCGGCCAGATGTGGGTGCTGGCCCCAGCTGGGCGGAGGGGACAGCGGGGCCTGGAGCCAGCAGGAGAAGGAGAGACAGGACTCGCTGCGGGCTGCTCCCTGCAGTGCCTGGGAGAGGAACCCGCTGCCAGGAGATCCCCGTGTGCTCCCACAGAGCGGCAGGATGGCGGAGAAGGGCATGGATCCCGCCTGCGTCTCCATCGCCCTGGAGGACACCGTGTGCCACGCCGGCCCTCCGGACGCCCCGCTGCTCACCACCCACCTGAAGAAGGTGGAGAACCACATCACGGAGGCGCAGAGGTTTTCCCACCTCCCCAAGCGCTCGGCTGTCAACATCGAGTTCATCGACCTGTCCTACTCCGTGCGGGAGGGATCCTGGTGGAGGAAGAGAGGTGGGAGCTGGCGGTGGGGAAGGGCAGGGAGGGGAGGGGACCTGCAGGGCTCTCACAGCTCCCGTTCTGCGTGCCATGACCTCACCCTGCTCCAGCCAGGGGCTCTTGGTGGCTGCTTGCTTGTGCTGGGTGCCCGTGGGAGGAGGAGGCAGGGCTCGTGTCCCGTTGCAGTGGCAATGCCAGGGGAAGGCAGAGCGTATTCCAGGGAAATCTGGCCAGGACAGACACCCTGAGCCAGCTGGGATGGGATGGGATGGGATGGGATGGGATGGGATGGGATGGGATGGGCTCCCCCAGCCCTGCTGTTTGGGGTATGATGGATGGGATGGGCTCCCCCAGCCCTGCTGTTTGGGGTACAATAGATGGGATGGGATGGGATCCCCCAGCCCTGCTGTTTGGGGTATGATGGATGGGATGGGTTCCCCAGCCCTGCTGTTTGGGGTACAATAGATGGGATGGGTTCCCCAGCCCTGCTGTTTGGGGTACAATAGATGGGATGGGTTCCCCAGCCCTGCTGTTTGGGGTACAATAGATGGGATGGGTTCCCCCAGCCCCTCTGTTTGGGGTACAATAGATGGGATGGGTTCCCCCAGCCCCTCTGTTTGGGGTACAATAGATGGGATGGGTTCCCCCAGCCCCTCTGTTTGGGGTACAATAGATGGGATGGGTTCCCCCAGCCCTGCTGTTTGGGGTACAATAGATGGGATGGGTTCCCCCAGCCCTGCTGTTTGGGGTACAATAGATGGGATGGGTTCCCCCAGCCCTGCTGTTTGGGGTATGATGGATGGGATGGGCTCCCCCAGCCCCACTGTTCGGGGTATGACGGCAGTGTGGGATGCAGCAGGAGACCCCAGGGGTGCCCCAGCTCAGAGCCTGGCAAGGAGAAGGTGTGATTTGTGGGGGATTTCCTCTCCCTGTGCAGCCGAGGCCGTGGCCCCCTTCCCTGTGTGCGACTCTGGCCGAGAGCTCAGGGAGGGGAGAGGGGAGGCAGATGGCGGCTGGTGGGTGGTAGTCTGCTTTAATTAGCGCTCCAGTTAATGGGATGCCAATCAGGCAGCCCGGTAAGATGGAGGGTGAGCTGATCTGCAGGAGCTGAAGGCAGGCGGGGACCGAGGTCACAGGGCTGGGTGAGGGGCTCTGCCAGCCAGGAATGCCGGATGGGGCTGTGCCCTGTGTCCAGGCCGTGCAGCTCGGGAAATCGAGGAGCTGGAACATCCTGGGAGCATCTTTGACATCTGCCGGGACGGTGCCTCCCTGTTTTACCGGGACGGTGCCTCCCTGTTGTGCCGGGATGCTGGGGGAGCATCCCAGAAGGATCCAGGGCTCGCCAGGGCGGATTGCGCTGTAGCATCCAGGAGGGAAGCGGCTGCTTGCCAGCGAGCCGGTGCCCTGCAGGGATGGAGGGGGAAAGGATGGGGCAGCTGGACCAGGAGGGGACGAGCCGCGGGGTCGCGGGGTCCGTGGATGGCGGAGGCAGGGATGCTTTCCTCCCCCCGCTCGGGCGGGTGGCGGTGGCTTTGGCCGCAGCCCCAACCCCGGCTGGCCCCGCGGTGCTGAGCAGGAGGTTACCGGCAGTCAATGAACGCGAGTAACCGCTGCGCAAGCTGCAGTGCCGCCGACGTGAGCAGCATGCGCGGTGCGCAGCCCTGCGCGCTGCCGGGGTTGGGGTGGGGGATGCTGCCAGCCCTGCTCGCCCCTCGCCACCCTGAGCAGCCCCCTGGTCACCCCCCTGCCCGTGGGACCCCCTCCTGCTGCGGGGTTCCTGAGCCCGAGGGGCGCAGAGGAGGAGCGGGGGGCTAAATCCCGCTCCTGGGGATGGATGAGCCACAGGGATACCCCAGCCAGGTGGGGCTGTGTCACTGAGTGCTCTGTCCCCTGGGCTTCCCCCAGCCGGGGTTTGGTCCCCCAGCCCCACAGCGGCTGTCCCCGTGGGGCACAGAGGGGACACAATTCCATTAGAGGGATGCTCAGGCTGCGTCCGTGGGGTTTTCACCCCCCTGTCCCATCGCTGACCAGCCAGGGCTCCATTTCAGGGGCAGCTTCTGAGAGCCTGAGGCCGTGTTTGTTCCTTACTCCCGACACATCGTGTTCCTTCTGCCAGAAAATGCTAATCAGCCGCGTTTAAAGCAGAGATAATTCCAGGTCTGATTAGCAGTGGCTGCTGCCGGGTGCCACAGCGTGAATGCCAATGAAGGCGACAGCCGGATTGGGAATTCTGCCTGCCCCCTGTGCCCTGCTCGGCGCTGGCCCTCCCCCCTGGCCATAGGGATCAGCATCGTGGCCAGGAGCAGTGTCACAGCCTGGTAATCCCCTTAGCAGCTCCCTGACCTGACCCGGGATTTCCCTGCTCCTTGCTGTGATCCAGGTCAGGAGCTTCCTCAGCACTGGGAATCAGTGGGATCAGCCAAGGAGCAGGGGCAGGGATCGTGCTGGAGGTGACAGCTGCAGTGGATGGAGCACACACAGCCCCTGGTGTGGCACATGGAGGTCCTGAGGTGCCCCAGGTGCTGGTGTGGCACCCCTGGGAAGCCAAACCCCTGCTGCTCTCTCCCTGCAGGGTACAAGACCCTCCTCAAATGCCTGTCTGGGAAATTCTGCCAGCGGGAGCTGATTGGGATCATGGGCCCCTCGGGAGCTGGGAAATCCACACTGATGAACATCCTGGCTGGCTACAGGTGAGGCTGGGGGTGCCAGCGGGGCTGGGGGCGCAGGGCAGTGCCACATGCCCCACGCCTCCCTCCTGCCTGCAGGGAGACTGGCATGAAGGGGCAGATCCTGGTGAACGGGCGGCCGCGGGACCTGCGCACCTTCCGCAAGATGTCCTGCTACATCATGCAGGATGACATGCTGCTGCCACACCTCACCGTGCTCGAGGCCATGATGGTGAGCTCTGGGGACATCCTCTGGGCTGTCTCCTTGTGGGCACGGAGCCCACACCGGCACCAGGCGTTTCCAGGGGTTCTGGGATGCGGGAACAGAATCCTGCTGTGTGTGCAGGCAGGGTGGAAGCACCGCAGCCAGTTCTGTCCCCTGCCCCTGACGGGCGTGTCTCCCCTCCCTGCAGGTCTCTGCTAACCTGAAGCTGAGCGAGAAGCAGGAGGTGAAGAAGGAACTGGTGAGTGCAGGGGAGGCTGGGCCCAGACCCCTCAGCTCTCCCCACCATGGGCACAAGCGGAGCAGGGGGTGGCAGGGGTGGAGGAGGTGGCAGGGGTGGGATGAAGCCCATGAGGACCTTCGGCTGTGTGACAGGTGAATGAGATCCTGACGGCCCTGGGGCTGCTGGAGTGCTCCTACACCCGCACCAGCTCCCTGTCGGGGGGCCAGCGCAAGCGCCTGGCCATCGCCCTGGAGCTGGTCAACAACCCGCCCGTCATGTTCTTCGATGAGCCCACCAGGTGAGCTGGGCTGCCCCTGCTGGCATGGCCAGCACCCTCTGGTGCCCACCTGAGCACGGGATGGGACTGTGCCCTGGGGCTGATGCCCTTCTGCATGGATCTGAGGGGTGGGTGCCCACAAGGGGAGGCAGGTGGGGGCATCTTTAGGATGTTCTTCTCCCCCTCTGAACTCTCCCCCTCTCTCTCTGCTGTCTCTGTCTCCTGCACCCCATCCTGCGTGGCCACAGCGGTCTGGACAGCGCCTCCTGCTTCCAGGTGGTGTCCCTGATGCGCTCCCTGGCTCAGGGTGGGCGCACCATCATCTGCACCATCCACCAGCCCAGCGCCAAGCTCTTCGAGATGTTCGACAAGGTTTGGGCTGGGACAGGCTCGCTCTGGCCACGGGAGGGGTGGGCTGCAGGTGTTTGAGCTGGGGTCTGGCAGGGGTGGCTGTGTCACCCTGGGGCAGGGAGGTGGGCAGGATTGGGTGACGATGCCCTGGCTGCCCTGCACCTGCCACATTCTGGTTTTCTCGTGCAGCTCTACATCCTGAGCCAGGGCCAGTGCATCTTCAAGGGCGTCGTCACCAACCTCATCCCCTACCTGAAGGGCCTCGGCCTCCACTGCCCCACGTACCACAACCCCGCTGACTTCAGTGAGTGTCCCCACCCCAGCAGAGGGTGGTGAGCCCCAAACCCAGTGCCCAAGCCCTGGGGGCTGCCCAAGGGAGATGCCAGTGCCCTTCCTGGTCGGTGCTGGCTGTCTCAGCACCTCTCAGGGCTCCTGTCCTCCCCCACAGTCATCGAGGTGGCCTCGGGGGAGTACGGGGACCTCAACCCCGTCCTGTTCCGCGCTGTCCAGAACGGGATGTGCACCATGGCTGAGAAGAAGAGCAGCCCTGACAAGGCAGATTCGTCGTGCCCAACGTGTGGGACGGTGAGTGGGGCTGAGAGGAGCCCCCTGTGCCAGCGGGAACCCCGCGGTGTGAGCCTGACCCGCGTCCCCCCGCTCTTGCAGGACGTGGATCACATCGAGAGCCACACATTTGCCACCAGCACCTCCACTCAGTTCTGCATCCTCTTCAAGAGAACCTTCATCTGCATCCTAAGGGACACGGTGAGGCCGGGCCAGGGCTCGGGGTTGGGCTTTGAGGGGCTGGCAGCAGCAAGGAGCTCCAGGGGCTGTTGGCTGCTCCCTTGGGATGTTTTTGGGGTGCAGCCCTGCCATGCTGACCCCCCCGTGCCTGCAGGTGCTGACCCACCTGAGGTTCATGTCCCACATCTGCATCGGGGTGCTCATCGGGCTGCTCTACCTGCACATCGGCAACGACGCGGGCAAGGTCTTCAACAACACCGGCTTCCTCTTCTTCTCCATGCTCTTCCTCATGTTCGCCGCCCTCATGCCCACCATCCTCACCTGTAAGGAGCTCCCTGCCCCCAAATCCCCTCGCTGCTCCCAGCTCTTGGGGTGCTCCAGCTGTGGGGCACTATGGGTGTGCCAGAGGGATCGGGCAAAATGGGGAAAATAAGAGAGAAGAGAAAAAAAATTTGAAGAACACGGGAGAATTTTCTGTTTGCCTGTATTGCCGTTTGCACTTTATTTGGCTATAATTTGGCTATTTGACCCTTGTTGGCTCAAAGCAGAATGCTGGAATTTTAATTTATTTTTTTTTAATCTGAGAAAACGTGTGTAAACCTGCAAAAAGCCCCAAGCTGACTTTTCCACGTGGAAATTTCCCATATCAGTCACTGATTGTTTTTTTTTTTTTCCTCAATGGAGGTTTGGGCACCCTCTCATGATGCAGGCGGGGGATTACCTGGTGCATCCCACCTGCCTGCACCAGGGAGAGGAGCTGGAGCACCCCAGGGCAGGGAATTGCTGCTGCTCACTCCTTGTTTCCCTGCAGTCCCCCAGGAGATGACCGTATTCCTGAGGGAGCACTTGAACTACTGGTACAGCCTCAAAGCCTATTACCTGGCCAAGACCATGGCAGATGTGCCCTTCCAGGTGAGCTTCCCATGGATTTGGTCGCCACCCTGGTGCTGATGTGGCACCCTTGGCACAGCCCCAGTGCCCCAGGGATGGGTCCCCCATCTCCCAGGGGGCTCAGTGGGGTGGGGATGGCCGTGGGGCCCCGTGCCAGGCACATCTTCTCTCTCTCGGGATTTTTTCATAGAGGAGCACAGAGGAAAGAAAGAGAAAATTTCTCTTTCTGCTCCTTGTTTTTCCCATGTGGAATGTGCGTGGAGAATTGTTTCCCTGGGGTGATGCTTGGTTGGATTTTGGTGGATTGTTTGAGCCTGGTGGCCAATCCAACCCAATCCAATCCAATCCAACCCAATCCAACCCAACCCAATCCAATCCAATCCAATCCAATCCAATCCAATCCAATCCAACCCAATCCAACCCAATCCAATCCAATCCAATCCAATCCAATCCAATCCAACCCAATCCAACCCAATCCAACCCAATCCAACCCAATCCAATCCAATCCAACCCAATCCAATCCAACCCAATCCAACCCAACCCAATCCAATCCAATCCAATCCAATCCAATCCAACCCAATCCAACCCAATCCAACCCAATCCAACCCAATCCAACCCAATCCAACCCAATCCAACCCAATCCAATTCCAATCCAATCCAACCCACCTGGGGCTGGACTCTCAGAGAGGGTCACGAGTTGGGAGTGAGGCAGATATGGGAGTTAGAAAAAATAGGTTTGTAGTTTCAGTATCTCCTTTAAATAGTATATTAATGTGTTATAGTATAGTTATAATAAAGAAACCATTCAGCCTCTGAGCTGGAGTCAGACCCCTCATTGCCCCAGCGGGTTCCCTGTGTTGGCACGGGCCCAGCGGGCGCTGTTGGTGGGAGTCAGACCCCTCATTGCTCCCAGCGGGTTCCCTGCGTTGGTGGTGGCCCAGCGGGCGCTGTTGGTGTCTGTGTCCCCTGCAGGTGATCTGCCCCATCGCCTACTGCAGCATCGTGTACTGGATGACGGGCCAGCCCCCCGAGGCCACGCGCTTCCTGCTCTTCTCCGCCCTGGCCACCGCCACCGCCCTGGTGGCCCAGTCCCTCGGGCTTCTCATCGGAGCTGCCTCCACCTCCCTGCAGGTCTGGCGGGGCTTTGACACTGGTATAATGTTGGTGTTTTTATGAAAATGTGATTTTTTAATTGAACGCCGTGAAATGGAATTGAGAATAGAGTCAAGCGGGTTTGAGTTTAATAATAAGGGAAAAAAAAATTTTATTAAGTTGTTGTTATTATGTTATTATAAAAGGAAAAAGAAAGAAAAAAATAGATGTGAAATTTAAAATGAAAACTTTTTAAAGTACTTTTTTTACTATTTAAATTAATTAAGTAACTATAAATACTACATAAAATAAATATAAAAAAATATATATTTTATATATATATAAATATATATATAAAATATATATTTTTAATATATATATAAAAATATATATAGGAGCAGAAGGAGCAGAAATAGAAATTTTCTCTTTCTTTCCTCTGTGCTATATATATATATAAATATATAATTTATATAAATATATATCTAAAAATGTATTTTATATAAATATATATATAAATATAATTTATATAAATATAAATATAAAAAATAAAAGAAAAATAAATAAAAATAGGAATAAATTTTTTTACTATTTAAATAAATTAAGTAACAATTTTAATAAAATAGTTCCTTAACTTATTTTAATATTATTTTATATTTTAATAATATTTATAATATTTTAATTTATTTTAATACTATTTTAATAAAATAGTTACTATTTTATTAAAATTTTTTAATAAAAAATTTTATTTATATTTTTTATTTTATTTTATTTTATTTTACTATTTAATTTTAATAAAATTAAACTGCAACTGGAGAGTTGTGAGGGGGCCCCGTGCCGATGTGGGGTGGGCAGGGCCGTGACCCCCAGTGGCCTCTGCCCCCCAGGTGGCCACTTTTGTGGGACCCGTCACTGCCATCCCCGTGCTGCTCTTCTCGGGCTTCTTCGTCAGCTTCAAGACCATCCCCACCTACCTGCAGTGGAGCTCCTACGTCTCCTACGTCAGGTGGGCCCCCAGCTCTGGCCACATCTCCCTGTCCTGGGCTGTCCTGGACCCTGGTGACACTGGGGTGTGCTCTGCCCTAGGTATGGCTTCGAGGGGGTCATCCTCACCATCTACGCCATGGAGCGCGAGGACCTGGAGTGCCTCGAGGAATTCTGCCCTTTCCAAAAGCCCATCAAGATCCTGCAGGAGCTGGACGTGGAGGAGGCCAAGCTCTACCTGGACTTCCTCATCCTGGGCATCTTCTTCGTCATCCTGCGGCTCCTGGCGTACCTGGTCCTCAGGTACAAGGTCAAATCGGAGAGATAAAGGGGCCGCGGGGCCCCGGTGCCGCTCCCGGGCCTGGCCTGCGGTGGGAGATGTTCTGCAGATGGACACGGTGCTCCTGCAGGTCCCGGACCCTGGTGGAGGCACTGGGAGGTGCCAGCCAGGCCTGGCTCAGTCGAGAAGGGTTTTGAGACATCTCGGAACTGTTTTAACCTTTCCACACACTCTTCATTGCAAAAACGTTTTGTACAGCCCTGGCACGTGCCGCTCTCCCCGCCCAGGACTGACGAGCCCCACGGAGTTTGGGTCCCCTCTTGTTGTCCCTGCCTGGCGCTGCCCTGGGGACACCAGGGACGGTCCAGCCCGGGTGGTTTGCGCCCAGCACGGCTCGGAGGAGCCTCTCTGGGCTGGGGCTGGGCTGGGAGGAGAGAGCTGCAGAGTTGGAAGGGCAGTCACGGCCCTGTTCCTCGTCCTGGCCAGCAGCGTGTGAGTCAGTGCTGAGAAGAGCCCAAAGATGCCATAGGTGACGTTGCACAAGGCTTTAGAGTTTCCTGCCGCCGTAGCCACAGAGATTGCTTCATCCCCCTTTCCTTTCTGCACAAATCCTCCTTCTTTTTTTTCCCCTTTTTTCTTTATTTTTCCCCCCTCACACAAACCCCACTGCATCCCAGTCTTCATGGAGGGGTAGAGGAGGATGTGGGGCTCTGTCTCAGACTCCTTCTGGGACATCATCCTCAGAGATGGGGTCTGTGGGAGCAGGACAGTGTTCTCAGACCTTAGGGAGTCTCACTTCAGTCCCCGTTGTCTCTGGGGTCTGAGACAAGAGGGTCTGAGCCAACTCTACCAACACGGAGAGAAGCGACCGGTCCCTCTCATGGAGCAAGGAGGATTTGGGTTCCCACACCCTGCCCGTGCCAGGAGGCTGAAAAACAGGGCTGGGCTCAGCTGTGTCATCACTGGAGGCTCTGCTGCAGGAGGAGAGCTGGCCCTGAGCCCTTCCCTGCAACCTCTCTCCCCCAGCTCCTCTGGGGCTGTCTCAGCAGGACAGGGCGGACGAGCCTCACTCAGCACTGACTGTGCCAGGAAGGGACTCCAAGGACACCCGGAGGGGGTCCCAGCAGGGCCTGAACTGGAAACCAGGTGAGATCCCAGACTAGTTTGTTTGCAGCGGGTGACCTGGACACTGGGAAGGCCTTTGCACTTAGTGACTGGCACCAGAAGGTCCCTTTTGGCACGTGGTGGCTGCTGCAAAGTCCCACACCTTGCAGAGGGAAGGCAACTCAGCACCTTGTGGCTCTCCAGAGGAACTGAGCTGAGCCCAGAGCTGGTGGGGCATCTGCTGCTGTGCTGGAACACAGCACCCAGCTTCCCTGCAGAGCACAGGCTCCGTGGGTGCGCTGGCACTGCGGGCACCAAGCTGCACATGTCACCCACAGACGTGGCAAACAACAGGGTTTTGGCAAGCGTGGACGTGGGGCGGGCAGCCCTGCCCCACCCTGCCAGGCTGGCCCTGGTTCAGGTCAGCCTGGGGATCCTGATGCCAGGTTCCAGCAGAATCCTGGAGACTGATCTTTGGTTTGGCTGGTTTGGGTTGGGCTGCACGGCAGAGTCTGGCTGGCCTGGCACTGATGCTGGGCACTCAGCAAAGCCGAGTTTCCCCTGCCTGGAGGGCATCGAGGAATGTTTGGGGCTCTCCTGCACCGAGGGTCTGGAAGCAGGACACGCCCTGCTGCCCTTTCCACACTGAGTATCAGGGTTTTCCAGGGGGTATCGTCTGATTTTCACTGTCCCTCACAAAATCCCCCTCTGCCCCTGGATCTCCCTTCAGTGCCGTGCTCTGCAGCGGAGCTGTGCCAGCTGCAGGGCTGCAGTGCTGCCAACCACAGCCACAGGGGCACGGAGGAGTGGGGGACAATCCTTGTGCCTGCTCTGTCACGGGGTGCACGGATGGGCAGGGAGCTGGGGGATGTGGGGCTGTCACCCTTCTCCATCCCCTTGTCCCTGGAGCTGGTGGCACTGATGCCCTGCTTCTGCCCTGCTCTGGGGCTGGGACTGGTCTGTGCTGGGCTGAGGCTTTTCCCTGGATGGATCCCGAGCTGCAGGAGGTGTCAGTGGGGCAGCTTTGCACAGCTCCTGCATCCCCCCTGGCATTTGGGGCTCTCGTGGTGGGTCCGGGGGGTGCTGCTGTCCCCAGCGCCTGGACAGCCCTGTCAGGGCCACCACCGCTCCCAGGAGGACCAGGACAAGATGGACTAGTGTGTGGAGCAAAGGGGCTACCAGAGGCACCAGTGACTGCCACTGGCCGTGTCCCCCACGCACAGGGAAGGCTTTGTTGACCAGGCTCTGCTGCTTGCAGAGAAACCTCGTGGAAAAGGCTCCCCCAGCTCGGAGCAGCACTGCCAGGGCAGGTGGCTCCCACTGCTGGGATGGGGCAGCTGGCAGCACCCCCGGGATGCCCAGGAGGGCTCAGCACAGCCTGTGCCTCCCATGCCCTGCAGTGTCCCAGCTGCCCAGGTGTGTGCCCACTGCAGGGCAGAGGGCCAGGACAAAGCCCAGAGCTGCAGGGTGGCTGTCCCCGAGCTGGGCAAGGGCTCTGGGCAGTAGGGGTGGTGGGGCAGGCTGCTCGTCCCCAGGGCAGCAGGACACAAGTGAATGTGTTGGTGTGAAGGGGCTGATGAGTGAGGGAAGTGGCACAGGGCAAGGCCCTGAGGGGCTGAGCCAAGGTGTCCTTGCCCTTGCTTCAAGGACAGTCCCAGAGGTGGTGGGAGGTGCAGGGAAATGCAAGTTTGCACGGAGCCCCCAGGCTGGGCTGAGCACCCCAGGGTCACTGCCTGGGTGGTCCCTGCCCTGCAGGAGCAGGAGCAGGAGCAGGAGCAGGAGCAGGGCAGGGCAGGAGGGGTTTTCTCTGCCCAGGCACGGCAGAGGGAGGGGTGCAGCCATCCTGCTCCAGGGGGCCCTTAAGGAAGCAGCAAGGATGCACTTTAGAGCAGGGAAGCAGAGCTGTGGGTGCTCCTGGCTGCAGGAATGCCACGAGAGAGCCCATCAGGATAATCAGGAGGAGTGTGATGGAGGAGAGCAGGCTTCTTCCCCCACACCTCCTCTCCTGCCCCTGCCTTTGAGTGATGCACTTTGAGTGGATGAGGGTGGGGTTCCAAGTGTGGCTCTGGCTCCCTGGGAACATCAGCTGAGCCACCAAAAGCTGCTTCAGCCCCTTTGGCTGTATCAGTTCTGCCTCTCACGGGTGCTGTGGTGGCAGGCAGGCAGGCAGGGCATGGCCACTCACCTCCATGCATGTCCAGGCCACTTTTGTCACACGCACAAGAAGAGAAAATGCTTCATCACCTGGCTGGGGTTTGCTGGAGGGGAGACTGGGCTAGAGCAGGGAGGGGATGGGGCTTCTCCCAGGGTTTCACCCCTCTCCCAAATCAGGCAATAAAACAGTGTTTCCTTCTCACTGTGTGTGTGTGGACAGCGTTTGTCCTGTCCCTCTGCCAGGGGCTCAGTGTGTGTCCCTGCCAGGCTGCACCCTGTGCCAGGTCAGCACACGAGGCTGGGCAGCGGGGGCACATGTCAGCCAGGGGGGCACCTCGTAGAGAATTGAAACTCCCATTTCCACAAGAGCACAGCTGTGGGCTGCTTTCTCCCTGGGACAGCTTGCCAAAATAAGGCACAGGTGACAGCTGAAAGGCCGAGGGAGTCTGCTGGCACAGCTCTGTTGTGCCAGCTGCTCCTGGTGGCATTTGCCCAGATCTTTCTTACCTCAAGGGAGGGGCTGTGAGGTGGGACCAGGGCACTGCTGCCCACAGCTGCAGCCTGGCAGGAACCAGGCAGGGTGGAGGTGAGGCCCTGGGCTCTCCAGGCTGGGCTGCACACGCAGGTAAGTGCCCCGCAGGGACGGGGTGCCGGGTGCCAGCTTGCTGCTCACCAGAGGGTCCCGGGAGGCGTCGGGCAGGAGGAGATGTTGCGGTTCGTGTCGGTGTTTCCAGCTGTACTTGTTGGGTTTCACACATCAATAAAACTTATATTTATAGTGTACTGCCTGATGTCTGCCTCTCCTGAGAGCCTCGAGGGCACACGTGTGATGGGGGGTGGTGAATTTGGGGTGCAAATACGCAGCTGTGGCCCCCTCAGCCCCAGCACCCCTGGGTGGGCTGGCACCTCTCGGGACAGCACCCAGGTGTCGGAATCTGAGGTATTGATGATTCCTAGATTGTAGAAAGTCTCTGTCTGTCAGCCCCGCTGCCAAAGCAGAAGCCATAATTGGTCTGTGCTGTTTCAAGGTTGTTTATTCTGTTTATCTCTAACATGTTCTGCTGCCCTGCCGCAGCTCTGTCCTGCAGGGCAGCGTGTGGGGCTCTGCCCTCAGTGGGATGGTACAAACATTAAATACCACAAACTACCTGTGCTGGATTTACAATAACGTGCCAATATCTGTCACCTACGTTGGACAGTGTGTCCCCAGCCTGAACCAACAGAAAAATGCCAACACCACAGTGAAACATGGAGGGCATGAAGAAGGAGGAAAGGGACAAGGCACACCCAATTTCCTCCATCTTGTCCCCTTTGGACTCCTCATCTAGAATCCTAAAATTTTACTTTTGCACCCGTGCCACACTTAATTATTACTCATATCAAACACTCAGAGCTGGTAATTGATCCTGTAGGATTGAAAACTCTTTTCCATGGACAGAGATCACAGCCAGTGTCTCTGGGGGCTCTGTCCAGGGGGGTTCCTGACCCCTGCCAGGGTCCCAGGGCAGCCAGAGGGAAGCTCTGGATTGCCACAGGCAGGGACCGAGCAGGGTGCGTGTGGCCCCGGTGACACGGCTGTCCCTTGCTGGGCGGCTGTAGGCAGCGGGAGGGCAGGTCTGGGTGTGTGTGTCTGTGTTGGACAGGCACAGCACAGCCTCTCCTTGCTGCTATAGGACACGAGAAAGCACAACACGAGCTACTTGCTATTTTGTAAGGTAAAACAGGAAGTTTATTTTCTTACTCCAACTTTTATACTTTTCTAAAGGTGACAGTGGACTGGAGAGTGAATGGGCCACCTCTCCAAAGACATTAGACAAACCACTAGTATATTAAGTTTCCCCACCCCCATGAAGGAATGCAAAACAATATGTTATTTACAGAAATGGTGTGGGAACGCTTTCTAACAGAATGTAAGCTCAGAAGACTTTAGAAAAACTTAAGAATCGGGCCGACATCTCCTCTCCCCGGAGCAGAACGCGCCCTTGCAGGCTCCAGGGTGCAGAGCCGCCAGATGTGCAGCACATCTGGAGGAAGAGCGCATCTCCGGCGCTGCTGCGCGGCTCGGGGAGGCCGGGGGAGGTGCGGGTGTCGCTGCCGGACGGGGCAGGATGGCGTTGCAGGAAGTTCTGCCTTGCCAAGCAGCCGCCCCCGCAGCGGAGCCGGCACCGGGAGCGGCGGCTCCGGGCGGCGCTCCGTGAGCCCGGAATTCCCGGCTGGAATCCTGCGGGACGAGGTAACCTCGGTGCCACGGGGCGGGAGGGCACAGGGAGGAGGGCACAGGGAGGAGGGCACGGCTGCCACCACTGTCACCCCAGAGGGGTCCCGCAGCAGGACCAGCGCAGGGCCCCCGGCTCACAGAAGGGCTGGGAAGGGGCTGGGAATGCGGCGTGGGGTTTGTTTGAGGCAGACCACCGAGGTCGGACACCTGTGTTCAAGGTCAGCCCCTTTCCCCCTGTCCCCGAGGCTGAATTTCTCCACCTGGATCACCTATAAAGGGACTCTAAACAGCGTGGCTCGTGGGAGCTGTGAGTGAGCTGTCACTCTGCTCGTCCTTCCTCTCGGCTGGGTTTGCTTATCTCTTTCTCCCCAGGATGTCGGGGGCTGTGAGCACCGCCCGGGCTCCCAAAGGATCGCCCTGCTGAGCCCTGCTGGGGTGGGAGCCTGAGTCAGCGCCAGCACAGCCGGTTCTGCCGGACCGGACCGTGCTGGGGCAGGTGAGGCTGGGCAGGGCTCTGCTGCACCACTGGGCAGGGCTCTGCTGCGCCCCATCCCGCAGCCCCCTGGGTGTGGGAATCCAGAGCATCCCTCTGGCTGCCCTGGCAGGTCTGGGACCCTGGCAGGGGTCAGGAACCCCCCTGGACAGAGCCCCCAGAGACACTGGCTGTGATCTCTGTCCATGGAAAAGAGTTTTCAATCTTACAGGATGAATTACAAGCTTTGAGTGTTTGATAAGAGTAATAATTAAGTGTGACATGGGTGCAAAAGTAAAATTTTAGATTTCTAGATTAGGGGTTCAGAGGGGACAAGATGGAGGAAATTGGGTGTGCCTTGTCCTTTTTCTCCTTCTTCATGCCCTCCATGTTTCACTGTGGTGTTGGCATTTTTCTGTTGGTTCAGGCTGGGGACACACTGTCCAACGTAGGTGACAGATATTGGCATGTTATTGTAAATCCAGCACAGGTAGTTTGTGGTATTTAATGTTTGTACCATCCCACTGAGGGCAGAGCCCCACACGCTGCCCTGCAGGACAGAGCTGCGGCAGGGCAGCAGAACATGTTAGAGATAAACAGAATAAACACCCTTGAAACAGCACAGACCAATTATGGCTTCTGCTTTGGCAGCGGGGCTGACAGACAGAGACTTTCTACAATCTCAGAATCACCAATACCACAGATTCCGACACCTGGGCAGGGCTCTGCTGTGCCCCATCCCGCAGCCCCTGTGCTCTGCCCAGCACCGTGGAGCCCCTCAGCCACCTCCCCTGTCTTTCAGGTGCGCGATGTCCCGGGCCATGCAGTGCCAGGGCTGCCTGCCCCGGGGCAGCTGGGCACAGCCGCCCTGGTCCCTGGCAGGGCGCAGGGGGACCCGCAGCGTGTCCGTGTGTGCTGCTGCCGTGCCAGGTGAGCTGGGCTCTGTGCCTCTGGCACTCAGCCCTGTCCCTGTTGGACAGGCAACAGACCCTGTCACACCCTAGGAAGGTGTGAAGCTGGGGGTGGTTAGCCCTGATGGGCTGGAGAGGACCATCCCTGACCATGTGCATTCTTCCTCCCCGCCAGGTGGTGCAGGCAGGTGTTTCCTCAGGAAGATCCTTGGCACAAGCAGCATCTCCCTCCCCAGGTACAGTGTCACACGGCTGGGGCTCTTTGTCACAGCACCTGGGTGGCTGAGCTGGCTGCCTTGGCAATGGGGACACTGCTTTGCTTCCACCTAGACAGACACCCAGACCCACCTCCCTGCCTGCTCTGAGTCCTGCCCTCCTCCTCTGCCTCTCCACGGCTTTTCTGGGAGTGCACAGCCCATGGCTTGCTGACCTGCCTTCACCTCCCAGCCGTGCCCCTGCCCTGGCCCTGCGCTCTCCCGTGGTGTGGGGAAGGAAGGGGTGAGCTGGCTCCTCTCAGCACTTCCCACAGCCTCGCTGGTGATCTGCCCACCCTGCCCCAGGCGGGGTTTGGAGCTGCTCCCTGTGAGACTCTCCCTCCTCCTGCAGGGGCTGTGTTCGCTACCAGGGAGACTCCCAGGAGAGCTCTGCCCAGCCCAGCTCCTCTCGCCATGGTCAGTCCCAGCTGAGGAATGTGGCCTTTTCTGGTGAGTTTTGCAGCTCTGCTCTGGAGGGAGGGTCCTACACAGCGGGGTGGGGGCAGCTGCTGTCCTGGGCAGTGCGAGGGTTCCCCATAACTGGGCGCTGTCCCCTCTCTGCAGTGGCTTGGGGCAGGCAACTTCCCCAGTCCCCTGCCAGTGAGCAACCCTCGTCATGTCCAGCACCTTCCTCCTTCCAGGTGCCATCAAGAAGCACCAGAAGAGCCTGTCTGCGTGGTTCAGCCACCAGCCCAACGAGGAGAGGCAGTTCGGCCCTTCCTTCTCTCTGGATGCCGTCCACGTGGACCCAGTGATCCGGGAGAGCTCCCTGGAGGAGATTCTGAAGCCCTCCCCTGATTTAACCATCCAGAACCAGCTCCAGCAGCCCTGTAGAAAGGTGATCAGCCTCCACAACCTCTTTGACGTGGACGCCTGCGGGCGGCAGGTGAAGAACGTGGTGCTCTACGGCACCGTGGGCACGGGCAAGAGCACCCTCATCAAGAAGATGGTGGTGGACTGGTGCCACGGCCGCCTGCCCCGCTTCCAGCTGGTCATCCCCTTCTCCTGCGAGGACCTGTCCCACAGCCACGCCCACGTGTCCCTGCGGCGCCTGGTCACCAAGAAGTACCAGCACCTCCGGGACGTGGTGCCGCTGCTGGAAGCGTCCGGCCTCAGGGTGCTCTTCATCCTCAACGGCCTGGAGCGCCTCAACCTGGATTTCCGCCTGGCTGGCACCGAGCTGTGCTGTGACCCCAACGAGCCCGTGCCTCCCTCTGCCATCGTGGTCAACCTGCTGCGGAAATACCTCCTGCCCGAGGTGGGTGTTGCCCTGCTTGGTGCTGGGGAGAGGTTGGGGGTGAGCCCTGCAGCATCACAGGGTTTGGTAATTAATTGTAGTCCAGCTTGGCTGGGAGCAAGCAGGCAGCTTCTGTTCCTGGAGGGACTCACCAGTGGCCTCAGGTCACTGGTGGGATCTTTGGGTAAGGTAATGAAGGCTGTGATCTTCCAGAATTTATTTATGTCTAGGAGGGAATGGGGAGAATTCTTCTGTCCCCTCTGCCTGGGCCAGGTTTGATCCGGCGCCCTTTGTGCAGCAGCTTTGTGAGCCCCACCCTGTGGATGGGGCGATCCTTGTGCACCTCTGGGTGGGTTGTGCCCTGCTGAGCAGCCCCAAGCTCACCCAGCCCCGTGTCCCCAGGCCAGCATCATCGTCACCACGCGCCCGTCGGCCGTGCGCCGCATCCCCGGCAAGTACGTGGGGCGCTACGCCGAGATCTGCGGCTTCTCCGACACCAACCTGCAGAAGCTCTACTTCCAGATGCGCCTCAGCCAGCCTGGCTGCTCCGGAGAGGAAAGCCAGGACCGCCGCTCAGCGGAGCAGGAGAACCTGGTGGAGATGTTGTCGAGGAACTTGGAGCGCCACAACCAAATAACGGCTGCCTGCTTCTTGCCCTCCTACTGCTGGCTGGTGTGCACCACCCTGCACT